GGAATGCAGTAGTACTTTTCACTTTTTTGTGCTAATGAGGCTGAGCTCAGGGAATATATAAATGAGCTCCAAGAAAATAATACGCACTGCGTGCAGCATTCTGCCACATACTGTATACATACGCACACATGCAAACTGAGAAAGGGGAATCTTACTGAGCTGTAGAGGAAGCCCTCCGCATTCATGCCGATGTAGAAACCTGCTTTGACTCCCTGAATGGCCACCACCCTTAAGCCGACAGGGATGAGGTTGAAAAGAGCTAGAGAAAAACAAGGAGGAAACATTACATAACAATAGGATTGGCACTGCTATAACCACACTTGGAAAATGGATAAACTATTAACTAACCTAACATTTCTGATAGAAACAATGGGATCTAAATAAAATGTGTTAATTGGGTTACTGAGTAATGGTGAAGGTAAACAGTATGGTGAGAGTGGGGTAAGCTGTGCCACTTTTTACCTAGGCTGTCGTCTAATCAAGGAGAATATAAAGGTAAAATTCATAATTGTCCATTAATACATCCATATTAATACGTCTACAACATATACCACTGAAGTATGACTTCTACAAAAGTGGTCCAACAAGTTTGTCCAACAAGTCATGTCAAGAGGTAAGATGAACGATTTGCAACTTAAACAAAAATACACTATACACAAAACTAGCTAAGGAAATTTTTAATATTCAACATTTTTGAAAGCATTAAAACCATATTCAACCATTTACTTGATAGAATTGATAGAATCTTGATAAGGAAAAAAAAAGTTAGACTGGACAAACCAAAATATTATTAGCAAGGGGCGTAAGGGGCGTAAATTTCATCTAACAGTAGGGGGGACAATAAACATAAAATTTCTCATGAGCAAATTTTTGAAGGGGACACAAATAAATAATACAGCTAAAATTGTACTTGTAAGGATATGTATACACAGCCTTACTACTATTAGTGCAGCAGGGAGACCAAAATTAGACAATTTCAAGCTGCTGTGGTCACGCCGCGACAGCGGATGTGTCCGTTGTTGACATTAGGGGTCTCCAACCTTATTTCATTCAGGAGCTACTTTTTAAAATATAAGCGGCTGAGAGCTACCAATGTTATACAATACTTCTCTTAACCCTTTGGTGCCGGCGGGACACCACCCGCATGAAAACATTCAAAAACAAATTATTAAGCAACCCCTGAATTTAGGTATAACTAAACACAAATTAGGTATCATTTTAAAGCTTAGAATCTCAGCTTTTTAATGAATGTAATTATTTCATCATTAAGATAAACTCTTAACGGGCGCTAAGCAGTCCCTCTAAACCGAAGTGTACCGCAGGCGGGACACCCCCCCCTCCACGACAATATTACTAATCATATTTTTCAAACCACTGCCTTGATCAACAAAAAATGGATATCATTTGAAAGCTCAGAGTATGAGCTTTACAATGCATGTAGCCACTTTGATTAACTTCAAAGTAGTGCCGAGTTATTTGCTGATAAATGACAAAAAAAATAATAATTTACAAAATATGTTTTTTTGTGCCATGTACTTGTCACGGTCACCAGTTCTGTCAGCTAGTCTGAACTTCATTTCCCATCATCCCTCCTGCTGCTCACCTGCTCATAGTCACCAATCATCTAATCACGATCACCAGCTGTCTCTGATTCCACCTGCACTGGTTAAAAGGACTCACCACACACACACACAGTTTGTCTAGTCTCGTCTAAGACCTTCCAGATATTCGCCTTGGATTGTTACTTACCTGAAGTCTACTTACCTGTTGTTTGTTTGCACCCCCAAGTCTCCTATCTCCGATCTCCAGCGTCCATTTCCTTATCCCCAGTCATCAGCTCTGTGTCTCCATCTCCAAGTGTCATGTGCTCTTCCTAAAAGAAAGGAAAGTGTTTACCTCTTTATCAAGTCCTGTAAACGTTTGTGTGTGGCTCCTCACCTGTCTGATCTCCCTCCTGCTCCATCTGCTAAGCGTATCTGATCACCTATTGCCTTATCGATGCCGTCCAATCAAGTTTTATGTTGATTAGTTCCTCTCGCTCGCCCACCAGGTACCTTGGAAGGATGGTACATTAAAGTCAGTGTCCTGGAGTGGTCTGGATGATCCATTCTTCCTCCAAGCACCAGCAGCGACAAACCCCGGTACCCTGGCACAATATATCGATCATGTGCTATTGCTAGATGGTTCATTCTTCACAGTGGGCAAGGATGATGTTGTTGATGATGATGATCATGATGGTGGTGCCGGTGTAACTCAGTTGCTGATGCCCCAACCCCCTCCAGTTCTCCTAGTACCATCAGTTTATTTTTCCGAGCCCACTTCAGTCCCAAATGAATCTATCCCAGTGGGTGAAATCTCAGTTCCAGAGTCTCGTCTAGCCATGACCGTCATTCCAGAGTCCCATTCCGAATTGGCTGCCGCACTTGTGCCCCTGGGAGTACTGATGGAATATGAGGGGATGTCTTGGACCCCAGAACTGACTCCAGTCCCCAAATTCAACCCAGACTTTGCTCCTGTCCCCGAACTCCGTCCAGAATTGACTTCTACTCCCGAGTACAGTCCAATAAAGTCTCCAGAGTCAGCTCTCCAGAGTCAGCTCTCCAGAGTCAGCTCTCCAGAGTCAGCTCTCCAGAGTCAGCTCTCCAGAGTCAGCTCTCCAGAGTCAGCTCTCCAGAGTCAGCTCTCCAGAGTCAGCTCTCCAGAGTCAGCTCTCCAGAGTCAGCTCTCCAGAGTCAGCTCTCCAGAGTCAGCTCTCCAGAGTCAGCTCTCCAGAGTCAGCTCTCCAGAGTCAGCTCTCCAGAGTCAGCTCTCCAGAGTCAGCTCTCCAGAGTCAGCTCTCCAGAGTCAGCTCTCCAGAGTCAGCTCTCCAGAGTCAGCTCTCCAGAGTCAGCTCTCCAGAGTCAGCTCTCCAGAGTCAGCTCTCCAGAGTCAGCTCTCCAGAGTCAGCTCTCCAGAGTCAGCTCTCCAGAGTCAGCTCTCCAGAGTCAGCTCTCCAGAGTCAGCTCTCCAGAGTCAGCTCTCCAGAGTCAGCTCTCCAGAGTCAGCTCTCCAGAGTCAGCTCTCCAGAGTCAGCTCTCCAGAGTCAGCTCTCCAGAGTCAGCTCTCCAGAGTCAGCTCTCCAGAGTCAGCTCTCCAGAGTCAGCTCTCCAGAGTCAGCTCTCCAGAGTCAGCTCTCCAGAGTCAGCTCTCCAGAGTCAGCTCTCCAGAGTCAGCTCTCCAGAGTCAGCTCTCCAGAGTCAGCTCTCCAGAGTCAGCTCTCCAGAGTCAGCTCTCCAGAGTCAGCTCTCCAGAGTCAGCTCTCCAGAGTCAGCTCTCCAGAGTCAGCTCTCCAGAGTCAGCTCTCCAGAGTCAGCTCTCCAGAGTCAGCTCTCCAGAGTCAGCTCTCCAGAGTCAGCTCTCCAGAGTCAGCTCTCCAGAGTCAGCTCTCCAGAGTCAGCTCTCCAGAGTCAGCTCTCCAGAGTCAGCTCTCCAGAGTCAGCTCTCCAGAGTCAGCTCTCCAGAGTCAGCTCTCCAGAGTCAGCTCTCCAGAGTCAGCTCTCCAGAGTCAGCTCTCCAGAGTCAGCTCTCCAGAGTCAGCTCTCCAGAGTCAGCTCTCCAGAGTCAGCTCTCCAGAGTCAGCTCTCCAGAGTCAGCTCTCCAGAGTCAGCTCTCCAGAGTCAGCTCTCCAGAGTCAGCTCTCCAGAGTCAGCTCTCCAGAGTCAGCTCTCCAGAGTCAGCTCTCCAGAGTCAGCTCTCCAGAGTCAGCTCTCCAGAGTCAGCTCTCCAGAGTCAGCTCTCCAGAGTCAGCTCTCCAGAGTCAGCTCTCCAGAGTCAGCTCTCCAGAGTCAGCTCTCCAGAGTCAGCTCTCCAGAGTCAGCTCTCCAGAGTCAGCTCTCCAGAGTCAGCTCTCCAGAGTCAGCTCTCCAGAGTCAGCTCTCCAGAGTCAGCTCTCCAGAGTCAGCTCTCCAGAGTCAGCTCTCCAGAGTCAGCTCTCCAGAGTCAGCTCTCCAGAGTCAGCTCTCCAGAGTCAGCTCTCCAGAGTCAGCTCTCCAGAGTCAGCTCTCCAGAGTCAGCTCTCCAGAGTCAGCTCTCAGATAATCAACATATTCATATTAATGTTTAGGATGTGTACAAGTACACGGTAGCATGTATCTGTCACGGTTACCAGTTCTGTCACCTAATCTGAACAACATTTCCCATCATCCCTCCTGCTGCTCACCTGCTCATTGTCACCAATCATCTAATCAGGATCACCAGCTGTCTCTGATTCCACCTGCACTGGTTAAAAGGACTCACCACACACACAGTTTGTCTAGTCTTGTCTAAGACCTTCCAGATATTCGCCTTGGATTGTTACTCACCTGAAGTCTACTTACCTGTTGTTTGCACCCCCAAGATCTCCAGCGTCCAGTTCCTTATCCCCAGTCATCAGCTCTGTGTCTCCATCTCCAAGTGTCGTGTGCTCTTCCTACAGGAAAGGAAAGTGTTTACTACTTTATCAAGTCCTGTAAACGTGTGCGTGTGGCTCCTCACCTGTCTGATCTCCCTCCTGCTCCATCTGCTATGCGTATCTGATCACGTATTGCCTTATCGATGCTGTTGCATTAAATAAAGCCTGTTTGGAAAGTTATTCATCTCTCTCTGGTCTGTGTACCCGTGACCGTACTCTAATATGTGAAAAATATCATACAGCTCGGATAGTCATGTCATTTGAAAGGTCTCATCTAGTAGAATAACACAAGCATAATTGTTTGGGGCTTTGAATAAACTGGAGCGAGTTTTTGTACAAGAAGTCACCCCCAGACCCATATGAAAATAATATATTATCACCGTTTTACTTGTAACTTCATAAAATATGATCAGATCGTGGAAAAGTATGCACCATTATTTAGAGCAGATTCTCCTGATTAAAAAGAGCCCAACACTGTAATCTGCCATTTATATCTAAAGATTTTCCTCATGAATTTATAACACATAAAACTGCACAGGTGGCGTGTAGTTTAGCCAAAAAAAATCGAAGGTAGCTAGCTGTCATGTGGCGATTTCACTCGTAACTTCATGGAACATGAATATATCATAGAAAATCTGCAGAAAATTCTCCTGATTAAAAAGAGCCCAAACTCACCATAATCCATCCCTCAGATCTAAAGATATCCGTCATAAAGCTATAACACATAGAAAAGAATTAGGTCATGTAGCTTAGCAAAAAAAATCAGAGGTTGCAGTCCTGTGGCGTTTTAGCTCATAACTTTATAAAAACAAAAACGCACAGCATTATATTCAGAAAAGTCTCCCGATTAAAAAGAGCCCAAATTTACCATAATCCATCGATCAGATGAAAGATTTCCTTCATAGAGCTGTAACACATGAAACCAG